AACTGAGGGTGCTCCGTGGGCTCTGTGACTCCCAACTCCCACCCCAAACCCCGCTGGGGCTGCTGGGCTCACCTGATGAAGGGTCTGGAGATGGCCAGCACGGTCCGGATGAACCACGAGGGGTGCATGATGATCAGGGCCTTGAGGTTCTTCCTCAGCCTGGGGACAAGCCAGGGGACAGTGTCACATTCCCAGGACATTTCCTGTGCTCTGCTGGGCTCTGCCAGCTGCTGCCCAGCCCCAGCTGGCTCTGGCCAGGTAAAACCCCTCGGGGAGCCCATCCCAGCTCAGCGGGACGTGGAGCACTGCTCAGCTCTCTGGAAATACCATTGGAAAACCAAATATTCCTGGAGCGGGCTTGGAGCAGCCTGGGATAGGGGAAGCTGTCCCTGCCCATGGCAGGGGATGGAACGAGATGATTTTTAGGTCCATTCCATCATCTGGTAGGTGTAAGGAATGTGGGATTGGGTCAGACTCGTTCCTGTTGAGGAAGAGCGCCTGATTTTCCTTTGAAGAGGCCTGGGGATGATGGAGAGGCCCCAGCAGCAGGATTCTCACCTTCTGTCAATCATCTGGTAGCATTTCTTCAGCCAGCCCAGGCCTGGCATCCTCCTGCGGGGCGTGGCCCCGTTCAGGTACACGATCATGTAATCCTCGGCCACCAGCAGCTCCAGGCTGCTGATCACGTACCTGCCAGGGCGACACCGAGAGGAACCCAAATGGGGCTCAAAAAACCATCTTCGGATTCCTTCAAGTGCCCGTGTGTCACCCTGAATTGGGGGAGCCCAGCTCTGGCTGTCCCCAGACCCTGGCAGGGATCTCGGGCACCTTGGCACCAAGTCACAAACACCCGTGGCTTCCATTTTAGCTGCCAACTCTGTGAGGAATCCCAAGCCACAAGGGTTTGAGCAGTGTGGGAGTTGGATTAACACAGGGTGGAAAATAAGAATTTTGGGGTTTTAGAATGGGGTTCAAGGGTTCAAGATGGATTGGGCATGTCCTGGCCTTCTTCTCCTTCTCCTCGCCCTCCACGCTTTGCTGTGCTGGTGACACTTTTCTGTTGGTTTAAGGTAGGGACACACTGCCCAACATAAATGATTTATATTGGCACGTTGTTGTAAATATAGCACACGTGGTTTTGGGTATAAAATGCGAAATTTTAGTATAAAATGTGTAAATTGTAGTATAGAATGTGTAAATAAAGTGTGTAAATTTTAGTATAAAATGTGTAAATTTTAGTATAGAATGTGTAAATAAAGTGTGTAAATTTTAGTATAAAATGTGTAAAATTTATTATAAAATTCCCTAGAGGGCAGGCAGAATGCCATGGCTGAGCTGCTGGCCAGAGCTCAGCAGGTCAGAGAAAGAATATTCTAGATAAAGGAAAATAACACCCTTGAGAAGCCGAGCCTGCACATTCAGACTCCTTTGGCTGCAGGCTGGGAGGAAAAAGGACTTTTACACTCTGGGGGTCATTCCAACAGCCAGACCCCAAGAGTGAAAGAGCTCCAGACCCTTTCTTCGCAGCTCTGGGAAGAGGTTTGGTGTCCTGGGTGTCCCTCAGGGCTCAGCAGTTTGTGCCCTGCTCCATTCCCTGCCCAGCTGGGGAGTGTCCCAGCCACGCTCCAGCCTGGATGTTAATTGTGCCTCCGTGCCGGGCATAATTAACTGGAAAATTTGAATGTTTGGCCTTGCTGGGCTCGGAACTGGGGCCAGCATCCCACCAGTGCCCCTGGCCCCAGCCTGCAGCTGCCAGCTGGGAGTGCTGGGCTTGGAGCCAGGCTGCTCCCAGCTGGGATTCCTGATGCCACGAGCACAGGGAAGCTGCTGTGCTGCTGCTGTT